CGCAGACGGCTGTCAGCGCTCGCGTCGCACGCCAGACAACGGCGGCCGGGCCCGCTTATGGTCTTCCTTGCCGGCAGTCGCAAAGCCAAGGAGGTGGGGGAGGCAAAGGGGGGGGAGTTGCCATTTTCGTAATCGAGGTGGCGATGGGAGGTAGCAGACGCGTTCTAGAGCAGTAAAACACACACACACACTGCACCTGAAATCGGCGCTGCTGTGTAAAGAACCCACAGGGGAATGACTGATTGTGTTTTTTTTATTTTTTGCGGGGGGAGGGGTGTGGATGGAGAGAGGGTGGAGTCGAGATTGTGTGTCCCCCCACCAGCACGTCATCGTTATTAATGCCGCCCTAGAACGGGCACCTGTGATTCTCGGCGAGCGTTTCAAGCACGGGCAGAGCGGGGAGAGAGGAGAGAGAAGAACCTGTGGCGTCCTGTCCAGCACGGTTGCCTCTTACGACGCCGCGTGGCGGTGCGGTGCCCGAGGGGTGCTGAGTGAACTGCGCTATAAACCCCGCGCCGTCTCGGTTGGATTCCCGGCCACGGCCGACGTCGACGAGGAGTGATATCCTGGCAAGTTCTGGGGCTCCCACCCCGTCAGCAAGCGCAGTGACCGGCGTGGTGAAGTCTGATCGAACATCCCCCGTGACTGACGCGGCACGGGGAGGCTTTCATCCAGCAGTGGCTAGAGAAAGGCCTGTCCCATTTACTTTTTTGCATGCGGTGCTTAAAAAAAAAACATAATCATAACGACGCTGGCATTGCGCAGCCGTGATTTTGTTTTTGGAGCTCCGGTGGCGTCTTCTCTCTGTGGGGCCCCCTGCGGGCCGCGCTGCTGTCTGCCCGCACCCGCAACCCCCACCCCCTTTGCAGAGTCTACACAACGACCCCCCCCCCCCCGCCCCCCCGTCGAGGGAGCCGACACGGCCGCAAAGAAGTCGTTGGCGGATTTCTCTGCGAGATATTCCCCGTGTGTGCTGGGGGTGGCTGGGCTCCTGGGCTGCACTACTCCCCTCCCCCTGCGGGTGCCTCTCGACCCACCGGCCGACCTCCCGCCCCCCCGGCCCCCCCCGGCCCCCCCCGGCCCCCCTCGAATAGACGGCGCCTTTTTTTGTTGGCGTCGTTTTTAGCCGTGGCAGCGGCGGGACGTGAGGCACGTGCCTCGCGGGAGCCTCCGGGGTGATCGGGCTGAGTCTGCGCCGTCGCTCCCCGTGTCACATTGCCCGTGGATGGGAGTTGGGGGGCGGGGGTCGCGTCTGTGGTCAACGGCGCAGCGCAGTTACCGCGCAATGAATGGCGATGTAAATACTTGGCGACGTGGCACGCTCGCGTGTTGGTGGAATGGGCTGTTTTGATGGATATTGGATACATCCGTTCATTCATCATACAGTAATACTTTAATTTAGAAACACCTCAGGGCTGTTGGCTGTCACGACCGCCAAGAATTATACGCTCGAATCGGGAGAGCGTGTTTTTTTAATAAGCAAAGATCGCAAGCAAGAGAATGTGTAATTCAGTTACGTCCTCCGTTGGCTCGGGGACTGCCGGGGTTGAGACGCGTCCCCCCGCGCCGGAGAAGGTAAAGGAGCCGTCCCTTCTGGTGACAATGATTACTACCCAAGCGTCTCATGTCGCTCCTCCCAGCTACACACGCACAACGCGTGCACACAACAACGCGTACACACAACACGTGCACACAACAACGCGTACACACTCACAACGCGTGCACACAACAACGCGTACACACAACACGTGCACACAACAACGCGTACACACTCACAACACGTACACACTCACCACGCGTACACACAACACGTACACACAACGCATACACACAACACGTACACACTCACAACGCGTACACACAACACGTACACACTCACCACGCGTACACAGAACACGTACACACTCACAACGCGTACACACTCACAACGCGTACACACAACGCGTACACACTCACAACGCGTACACACTCACAACGCGTACACACAACGCGTACACACAACACGCACGTGTGCCCTGCTCAAAGCCGCCAATGACCTTGACTCTGGATGCCCCCTCCATCGCGTCTCACGCTGAGACTACGGGCCGTTTTATTTACACAACAACATGAAAGTTAAAACGGTGTCGGGAGAGAGAAAAAAAAACCTTTTTTTAAATATTTGCATAATGGTAAAAAAAGAAGAAGAAATGAAGAGAATGAATTTGCTGGCCAGCTGAGCGCTGCTTGTGTGTTCTCTCCTTTTTTGTCTTTTTTCTTTTTGAAGTTAAAACATTTTCCTCGTCTTCGACTTTCTTAGTCGCGGCACCAGCCGTGTAATCTGATGACGGCCAGCGGTGTCGGAATGGCTGCGCCTTGATCGTCCGTTCTGACATTCTTGCCGGTTCCTCCCAAGCCAAAGCGCAATCATTCAAAAGGATGTTTAATAACCGCCCCCCTCGCGCTCGTCTCTTACTAACCTTCCCTATCTAACCTTGGCAGGTCGCACATTTGCAAGTTTGCTTCTTTTTTAATGCGAGCTTAAGCTTGAGCGAGAGAGAGAGAGAATACACAATCACAGAAACATCGTATGCAGCTGCTCGATTTAAACATTATGTCTGTTACCAGGAGTTCACCTCGACTGGCCTCGGTGAACTTCACGTGACAGTTTTGCCACCAATAAGAAAAAAAAGAATCTGCTTGTGCAACGTCTAATATTCCAGCCTTAAGCTGGATTTATTGTGGTGAGGAATCAGGGGATGGTTGAGCGGAGGGAGAGACGGGAGGGGGGGGCGAAACGCTTCTGCGTTGTCAACTCAGAGCCAGAGCTCGATTTGCTTTAGACACCTCGTGGCTTCGTGCGCAGACACCCCATGGAGGTACAAGCGAGGTCAGATGGTGCTGCTCTGCACTGAATGGTCACTGCTGATGCTTTCCCTGTCCCTTCTGGCAGTTAATGCCATAACACACTGCGGGCAATTTTAGTGCAATTGTTGCCTGCAGACATCACTGGCAACGCATGTTCCATTAGCAACTATGGCAACTTGGTATGGCAACGGAACTGAGTGGCCCTGTCCGAGAACAGGTGCGCCTTGCGGCACACTCCCTCGACTCACAGCGATGCAATATTGCGTCTTGATACACACCGTTAGGGCAATTATTGCAGGCAATCTCTACACGCAATGCATTGACCCATCGGCAATTGTGACAACTTAGCACAACAGTGGCAGAATTCTGTCTGACCCAAAACACCCGACTTTAGAGACAATTATAATGTTTCATGAGCAGTGATTGGTTCACAGAGCACGTAACCTCTGGTATTCATGTGATCTCCGTCTTTGATCTGATTGGCCGTCATCCCTCCCAGTTGCTGTCCACACGGGTAAGCGGCAATCAGAGTTGTTCCAGATGTGGCAGCTAAATCTTTCAAATGAGAAAATGATGCAGCAACCGTCTTGCATGGACTTTGGGCATTGCCAATCTTTAGCAAAACTTGGCAATGACATATCTCCTAGAAGGTTGTTGTTGTTGTTGTTGTAATAACGGTGCATTGTGTACGTGTGCGATCGCGGCGTGAGCATCAGTTGTGTACGTGTGGGTGCGCGCACGTGCCCAGCGAGGAACGCGTGCTTTCGTTGTCATTTGCGTTGTTCCACGTGCACATTTCTACGCCCGGTTAAATCTCCAGACAAAAAAATGGAAACGCAAAATAATGACGAGCGTCGTCGTCGAGAATATAAATACTAAAATAGATACGCAGACAATATGCCTCATTCATATATGTTTCCACGCAATTGTTGTTGTTGTACCCAACCCACTGGCTTCACGGTCTTCTGGAAAAGCATAATTTCAGAAGCATTCGTTCAGTACGAGCAAAGTCCATTCAATTGCCGGCTTATCTCTTGCATTCACCAAACGGAGGCTGCTTTAAGAGACTGGCTTTCCAGCTTGTTTCGAGTTGCGATGGGATGGGTGTGTTGGAATCACCTACCGGCAATGACGACCTATTGACCTTCACTTACCTACTCATACGCTAAGTTTGCCAACTCAAGTTCCCGAACATGTACGGGTACGCGTGCCGCTCCGTTATGCCAATGCACTGCTGGATGAGGGCCTCCCCATGTCCTGCGTGCCATGAGGTATAATTGACCATACTTCACCACGCTGGTCATTGCGGGTTTAGTAAAGGTGGCAGAGGAAGTGCAGAACAACAAATGTTTTTTTTTCTGCAGTGCCCTCTGCGACCCACAACGCAGCCTCTTACAGCCTTTTGAGCACCCATCCAAGGCGTTATCAAGGCTAAAATCTGCTTAGGTCTGACAAGACTGGGCGCAACCTGGGTGACGGGGTCATGGGCTAAATTGACGCACAGTCACATACGCTTGCGTGCGTGGATGCATTTATCCATCCCCTCCATGAGCGGTTCGAGGCGCAGTGGAGCTCGCCACCAAATGCAGAGCAACTTGGGGTAGGAACGAGGAGGAGTGAGCGCTGTTGGTGATTTGTGGAGGCAATTTCATTTGACGGCACCATGGCGATGTTCACGAAACGCGTTGGATCAAAGCTGCACGCCGAACCGCTGTAATCTAGCAGCGCAATTTGGAAGTCGTCTCAAATCGCGGGGATTTTGTTGAATATTGAGAAGATTTGCTTACCGCAATGATGATATCAAAATGTCATGAATCAAAACTTGTCCGGCAAGATTTCATACGTAATGGTAATTGGATGAAAGTACAATCTAACGGGCGTATAAATTACAGCGATAAGACCAGTGGCCTAAATCCAGCATGATATGCGGTGCATAAATTGGGTTTAATTTATTCAGAGTTGATGAATGTGTGGTGTTACACATAATTTATCTATAAGTTAGGATGAGTAATACGATCGTAATAATATCCGTAATTTACTAATAATGATGATGGTAAAATATTGAGGGTGCAGTAAATGCCTGCTGTGGCTTTGTGAGATGAATGTGTTGCAGGTGCTGTGTTTTGAGAGTTGTATTGCTGCTGCTGACGTTGCAGAGACACGGAGACAGCACAGGTGTGCCCGAAGAATCGTCGCGGAGTCTGGAAAACGCTCAGGTGCTGGGAGTCGCTTTGGTGACGACACTGAAATTAACGTCATCTTACCACGATCGCGATCATCGCCAAAATTACCTAAAGTCACGGGTCATCATCATCCACACCACCACTCGTCACCACAATGATCTTCAAACAACATTAATCATAAATCAATGGTCTCAATGTGAATAAAAGGAAACTCCAAGACACAATTGGAGTTGCTTTCGTATGATTGTGCATCTATGTGGGTGTTCCGGAGGTTTAAAGCACGTGAATGGCTATCCGAAGGTTTCTGAGTTCGGATCGTGGTCAGGGGTAAATTCGGCCCATCATCCTTGCAGGGTCATCAAATGGGTGCTTGAACAGGTAATCGGCTTTCACCACCAATATTTATCCATAATAGGGTTTTTTGGGGTTAGATCGCTTCAATATAAGTGTCCTTAACCCGCCATCACCCCACACAGCCAGTTAGTAAGGTCTGTCACGTAAACAAAACCTGCCATTTAGTTACTATTTCGGCACAACAGTGTGTTGGAGAGTAAAGCCACAACATTTACAATTTTAGTACAAATTGTAACCCAAAGAAAACCTCTATTATGGATAAATGAGTGCCTTTGTTGTACCAGGTGGTTGCCATGTGAAGAGACTGGCTCCCTGCAATGGGAATGTGGAATTTACACCACTGGCTTTTGGCCGCTCACCTGGGTGGGTGTCGGCCCACTGCTGTTGCGAGCTGAGAGAGGCACATTTTGTCTTGGAGAGGTGAAGTCCGAACAGATGCGGTCACCGAATCGGGGGGCGTTTTCCCCAATAACCAGCAACAAAGACACTGTCAGAAGCACACGTGACATCGTGCCCAATTCGTAGTTTATCAGGGGGAGCCAGGAAACTCGTGGAGGTGAACACGTCTTGTTGTTGTTGTTTTTACAAATGCTTCCATTCGTTTTCTTTGTGCATTAAATTATAACATCGGCGTGTTTTGGTCCGCGCCGCGTGCCGTTCAGAATTGATGCCCCAAAGTTTCGCCCCACACGCCGGGAGCTTCTTAGGGAGCCGAATGAGAAGCTCCCAGCGCCTGTCGGAGACCCACGCAGCGCAACCCCTGCGATTACCACCGCAGGGGTGCATACCACCAGCGCTCAGAATGACATTGGAAATTAATTTCTTTAGGAGCGCTTTTTTGTTTTGATTTTAAGCTTTCGTGACTGCAGTGATTCATATTCTTGGTTCTTTCGGTAAAGTCACGTTGAAGGGAAACAATAAAATAATAAAATATAGTTTGTTGTCCTTCCCCCGCACCTCCGGTTAGCAAAGTTGGCTACGTACGGCGCGAAAGAAGTTCAACATACATACTGTACTGCACGACATGGGCTCGGTCGGTAGCCACGTGCAGGGCGTAACACACGTGCGCGCGTGGGTATAAAACACTGCGACAGTGTTGGTGTGCGGAAGAAGTCAACGTGACCGGCTTGGGCGCGTAGAACAGAGTGCCCTTTTAGCCCCGAGATTAATTTTCGCCGGCGTTATGGAACAAGGGCGGCAACGTTGGCAGGGTCGGGGCGAGGTCAGGCGGAATATCCTGAAGGCGTGCGGCGTCGGCGGCGTCGCAGGTGGCCGGGGCGTTCCGCGGAGTGGAGCGGGCGCCGTGGAGCGAGCATAAGCGAGGACCCCAAAAAAAAACTTCTTCGGGAAAAAGGTGGAACAAGCCACAGTTTTGTCTCTACGCTCAGCGGGCGTCCGACCGGAGGGCCCGCCGAGTGCGCGGGGTTCGGAGGAGATGCTTTGGACGTTTATAGCCGCTGAGGCCCATTTATTTGATTGCCTCTTGCCCGAGAGAGCCACGTGCGTGTCAGTGGGGCCCGCAGCGACTCGCGCTGCTTGTGGTGTGAGACGCTTTGGCATGATTCGTGGTGAATCGTGATGTTTGATGGACTGCAATGCAACTGAACATCTAACCGTTTGATGAATTGCCACGAATTTGATTCATTCTATCATGAGACCTCCTTTGCCAGTATTAAATAATGACAATAGGGGTTTCCCCTTTCTAATAAGAAAACAGTTCTGTTAAGATGTTAAAACACCAAACTGAAACCTTTGCAAGGAATCATGTCTGCATTAACCTCACATACTTGTGGTGAACATACAAACAAAAAAATTGATTCATTCTACTCGAGAACTGATTATTGTTTTGTCACTCTGGTACGTTTAGCGCCTCCTGTGGCTGCGGTGTTCAGGTGAATTAAATACTTTCACCCTATACACAGACAATCAATTATTTCATTATGATTCGATACATTCATTGTGGGAATGGCATGTTGCCGATTTGTTTCAATTTGTGCATTCAGCATCGTATCATGGGATGAAGAAGCTTTTCATAAATATTCCAGGGCCGTGTGACGCTGGATTAGAGACGTTCCATTGGACTACTCCCAGAAAAGAAATCGATCAGGTGGCCAAATCATCTTTTATCTAGTAGGGGTCACACCGTCTTGTACACTCTACCATGAGATTTTTAACTACCTTACATTTTAAAAATGTCAGTGCCGGTGACCGCGCTGACACGGTGACTTCACTGTCCTTGAGAACCCAGTTTAATAACGGGCGATGGAAACCCCAGATTCAAAACCAGGAACTCAGCGGTGCCGGATCAGCACTCTGACCTACCAAGCCACCTGTCCACCTCAGCTGCGAGGTCTTTTTGCGAGCCGTGTCCTCGGCAGCTCGGCTTCAACGCGCGTCCCTTCCCGCGGCTCACAGCTGCGTGCAGCTTCTCCGCAGCGGTGATTGAGAGGTCATCTAAGAAAGCAAAACAAAAGCCAACGTCTTACTGTGCGAGGGCTTATCGTAGCCAGAAGCCTCCCGTGCAAACGCCCGGAGCAATTCCTCTGCCCCTTTTCTGGGCTTCTAAGCACACCGCGCGGGAGTATGTGTCACCGCGGGTATTAAAAGCAAGGACACGTGAGCGCGCCGTACGGAAAGTGTGCTATGTGAACGGCTGTCTTGGAGACCCAGTCATGCTTGGCCTTCATGTCTTTATGCTCGCGTGTGGCCTTGTCAGCCACAGAGACTTCGAGAATTGTTCCGCTTTTGTGAAGTCTGTGTTTTGTTTTCAAGTGCCGTACGGGGTGGGGGAGGACTTGATGCTGGATTATGGATGGTGGCCTTGCGTATCACTTTGTAAGCGGTTCATACCTGCTCAGCCCTGCTCTTAGTGTGTCCACCTGTCGGACAAAATAAAATTTCGTTCTCTCAAAAAAGGATGCAACATTTCTCCGACTTCTGTGTCTAAATTCATGCAGGAGGAATGTGTATTGTTGTTGTTTCTTGGGTTGGAATGTTCTGAGTGTTTTAATAGCAAAGCCGCAGTTGCTGGTTTGATGGTAAGTCCATTAATCGGATTGCTGAGTACCATGTCCCTCGTCTGAATATGTGAAAACCTTCATTTGCATGGCCAATGTGCAGCCCAAATAAAAATAAATTGGATACATCCCCAGAGTGAGCAGCATCCAAAAAAAACAACACAAGGCAGTCTCACGCCACATTTGTAGTTTTTCGTGCATTGGTCCATGAAAGCCTCACAGATCCCCTTGTTGCGGAAGAGAGATCGTTTGTTTAGAAACAACAAAACACCGTTTTACGTTATTTCTGTCGCCGAACAAACTCTGCTGTCCCTCGTTTTGCTCGAATCCCAGACGCTGAAACCGTTACTTGCCCCATCGTATATCGATGCGTGCCAGAAGAAATTAACGAGTGACGGCCAAAACAGCGGCCCAGCGCAAACTGTCTCAACAATCACTCAAAGTTGTTCTCCGGTGTCAGCCCGCATTGTTCAATTGCCCCCTGTTTGTCTTTACGCTGGCAGCGGACACCAATGTGCGTGTTGCACGCGTGTGCGCACACTTGCGGGGGAGTGGCGTGTATCCCTGCAGCTTACGCAATGCGTTGCAAAATCAACGATCTGAGTTCCGTTTTATGCCATACGGATATCGGTGATGTGAGCCCTCTCCTCGCTGGATGCCGTTGTCAAAACAAGCAGTGGGAAGACACGGGCGGCCAGCCAGCCATGGTGCTGGCCATATCACCTCTATGTGGTGCCGTGCCAACCGTGTAAAATAGGTGCTCGCTAACAGAACTTGCCACAGCTGTGGATTATAGGCGCACTGCCACCACCACCACCGCCGCCGCCGCACCCAGCGCTGTGTGGACGAGGGTTGTGCCAGCAGACTGCGGGAGGGCGAAGAGTGGCACACGGCCGTGGCGTCGGGGCGGGGAGCTGTGTGGTGGTGGGTGCGTGGGGGTGGGGGGCGACCGTTCCTTGGGTTTATTTTGGGCAGCGCCATTTCCGCTCCGCCGGTCGGTCTTGTGTCCAGCCTCAGCGGCAAGGTGCCCCCATCCATCTTGTACAAAAGGAATTGCATTTCCTATTTAGCTAAAGAACCTCTGGGTATTGTGCTCATTTGCGCGCGCGCGCGTGTGTCAGCGTGCGTCAGTGTGCGTGCTTTTGCCCTGCAATCGCGAACTTGTTTACGACCTCTGCCGTGGGCCCTCCCGAGTCGAGAGACGCGGAGGCGGCGGTGTAGGAGGCTCTCGGAAAAGACGCACGAGGGGCGTCAAGGGGGTTGGGGGGGTGGGGTGGATGCTGGAGGGCTCCGCGCGTCCCAAGCAGAGCTGTTCACGGCCAGCCGCGCATCTCGGCGACAATCGAGGGGGCCCCCCTCGGACGCCCCGGCCCGATTTGTTTATTTATTACTTATATACTTATTCTCCCCCCCCCCCCCCCCACTCGTTCGCTCGCTCGTGCACTAATATATTTATTTCCTCTCGCTGTGAGTGCCCCCTCCCCCCCTCTGTGAGTGCGAACTAAATAGGAGCCCCTCCAGAGAAAAATAGCTGTTTTGGAAGGCCGCCGACTCAGCATGTGCCTCGCCTGCCCCATCCTGCCCCCTTCATTTAGCATTTCGTGGTTCACAGCTGGTTTATTTTTCAAACCACATTTAACATGGAGGGGGTAGGGGGTGGTGTGGTGGGAGGAGGAGGAGGAGGAGGAGAGAGAAAAAAACACAACTGCAGTGCCTGTTTTTCTTACAGCTCCACAACACAAGGCCGATGAGTCGTTTCCTCTTCTCTCACGGCTCTGGCCACGGACCGGCGTTGCGCGTCAAGCGAACCTGGCTACCGACAGGGGTCCCCCCCCCCCCTCGCTACCTGACAGGGGTCCCCCCTGGCTACCGACAGGGGTCCCGCCCTCTGGCTACCCGACAGGGATCCCGCCTCCCCGACCCCCCCCCCCCCCCCCCCCCCCCCCCCACTGCAAAGGTGCCGACGCCTCTGCTGAAATTCTCCGGCGCGCAGAGAGGGGGGGAGGGCGAGACGTCGTTCGCCCTAATTTGGACCACCCGCGAGGAAGCGGCGACGGTGCCCCCGCCTCGAGTGGTGGGCCCCCCGGGGAAAGAAAGGCCCCCCTTTGTCGAGCGCACCCCCCCCCCCCCCATTGGTGCCGTTACAGCGAGCTTAAGAGAAAATGAGAGGAAGGACGCAGGGATAAAGACGCTGAACAGTGCCTGTTCTGACCAGCAATCTAAACTACCGAAATTAACAAATGCGAACTCGAGATATGCGGACGGAGCGAGGTCGAGGCTGTGTGGCACGCACGACTCGCGTGTCGCGAGGTCGCAAGTTCATCTCCCCCCCCCCCCCCAACTCCACCCCCACCCTCCTCGCGTGTCGTTCGGCGTGATGCCCGAACCCACGGCGGACAACTCCGCAGCACGAGCGCGAAAGCCCGCGCGGTAACTTGAGCGCCGCTTTGCGGGAAGTCAACCGCGGTTATCAACGTGGAGATCCTGGCGCCCTTGCTAGAGGAATGTGGAATTTCCACCGCCCGACCAAGGACTGCGCGTGGAGATGAGTGCCGACTGCTTCTCGCAGCAGGGAGGCAGTTTCGCTTTGAGCAGTGGGGGAGAAAAAAAACAGAATCCACAATCTCAACTTCTACATCTCAATCAGGCAAACGTGTCCGTGTTCACTGACGTGGACACGAGAGATCGCACGCCACATCGCGCCCGTGCGGGGGTTTGGCTCGGGGTCACTTCACACTTGACGACGACGATGCGATGGGCATCCGTCTGGCAACCACGAGCCAGTGACGTCTCGGTGAGAGCGTCGATCGATGCATCTTCTAGGGTCACACTTTGCCATGGCCGTTCTCGAAGGCGCACAAGCCGCTGTAGAGTCTCGGATGACACGGTGAAGTTTTTCACGGCCATTTGACATAAATTGCTTGAACATTCTGCACGCTATTACCAACCGGACAGGAATTACTCGGTAACAAGAGCAGCGTATAATGAGAACACCTCTTCGTGTGTTTGGTGGCGTAGGAAGCCCTCATTTGTTAATTTAGAGGGCACCACCTTGACAAAAGTGCCACGAGTCAAAACCTGACATGCGATTAATCAGATATACAGATTGTACAGATGATTAATTAACACACGCACTCACGCGCACACACACACGTATACAACACAGACACGTTGACAAATGCTGGACGGATAAAGAAAAACACCCAAGGTACACTCAGCACATTGTACACAGGTTGATAATTTCTGGCACAGTGTAATGGCACTAATATATTTTGAATGGTTACACATTTAGGCTCGCATTTATCCCATAGCTCTCTGCAGACTTCAGGGCTCCCCCATTTATCATTGGCCAATTTGGGGTGTTTGGGGCCAGCCGAGGTGACCCCTCCCCCCCCAGTCCCCACGGGGTGCTGGGCCCCGACTACAGCTGCGTGTGCAGCATTTGCATCTCTTTTCGGGTGTAATTGCACTCTCATTAATAACGACCCACGCGCTATTATTGCGGCGGTTATAATGCATTTCTCGCCCGCGTCCTCGCCCTACGGCGTTGTTGCCGCTTTGTCGGAGCGATGGTTGGCAGTGCGCTGAATCTCGATCGTGTATCGGCCCGATACTCCCGGCACGCCGGCGGCCTCGTGTCCTCGCGAGGCCGCGCGGTGTTTTTTTTGTACGCGCGCGTGGGATATTCACCGCGTGGGAGAAGGGCAACGAGGCAGCCGCCACGGTGGTGTGGGCACGGTGAACTTCTTTCACACCGCGTGGAGCCAATCGTGCCCATTAGGAGGTGCGGTGTAATGGTTAGCAGCGCACTGGACTTCCGGTCCAGAGGTCGCCGGGTTTAATCCATGTCCCGGCGCAGCAGTTGAAACGACGGAGCGATTTTTTTAAACTAACCCACCCCCCCACCGCCGCCTCTGTCCACCCAGCAGTACAAATCGGCACGCCACAGTTAGACGATCGGCAAGTCGCGCGTGGTAGGGTAAAGTGCGAGTTCTCTTGACTCTTCCAAGCCGTCGTGGCCACCGTGGAAGCGTGGGCGACAATAGAGCCACGATAGAAGGTTTACCCTCGAGCGCTCCCCCCGTGCTTGGCGGGGGCTCTCTTCCACCAGCAGCGGCGCGAGCGAGCAATTGCAGGGCTGCGCCTTTACCTTAGCCACCACCACCAGCAGCAGCAGCGTTGGGATGGGGTCGTTGGTTCCGGCCACGACCCACGGGTTCCATTCACTTGACCCACCCACGCCTCCTCACCCCTCTCTCACCAAGCACGGAGTTGCAGGGCTGCGCCTTCATGGCTGCCTCCCACCACGCAGCAACGAGTGCCGACATGCGGTGTTCTGCTGCTGCTGCTGCTCCTGCTACTGCTGCTACTGTCTGCTGCTGCTGCTGCTCCTGCTGCTCCTGCTGTGTGGGACACGAAAGTTTCCGTGGCGTTCCAAGTGAGCGGAACTTTCTTCACGACGAGTCCGCATTCAACGACCACCTAGAAATCCCTGCGCACAATCAATGTCGGCCGATTGCCTACGCAATTTGCGTTTTCGGGATTTTTATTTTTTCTGGTGACAATTTCAGAAAGCTCACGACAACCAGGCGACTTGAGTGGCCTGGGCCAGAGCTCTGAGTCGACAGCGCTGAGATCTTGGGTTTAAATCTGGGTCACAGCGACCGGTGAGTCAACTGGATTCTGAAGTGAATCCTGATCCTTACTGAGTGCACATTACATTGCATTGTTTCACCTAATTTTATTCACTGCAGCCTTGAGGCCTAAACATGTTGCTTTGATGTGCAATTAACATTCTTGATTTGAAGCTTTCGTGACTGCAGGAATCCATACTCTTGGGTTCTTTCGGTAAAGTCACGATGATAGAAAATGATTAGATCACGACGTTTGCGATCGAAACGTCGTAATCTA